TGTTTCCAATCCTTCTCTTCCACCTTTTAGTTCAGCAGTTTGGCTTCTATTCCTTAGAATTCTATTGAACTGTTCTGAGGCCAGCAATGACTCTTAATGGGTAAATCCAAAGGGGGCTTTTCTGTCCTTATCTGACTCGATCACCCTGTGGAATTCAATATTCTATCCTAGGCTTAAGCCTAGACTTAAGCCAGATCATCTATAAACTGGACATAAATGAGCCACAAAGTCTTATGCCCCACTAAACTGCTTCCACTGAGATTTTCTGGCATTTATGCCCTTGGCTTATACCAAAGGAAACATGGGTAAAATGTTATCTGGAGTTAACACTTACTTAGAAAAGCTCTTATTCAGAAAGGATTTTTTTCTTTTGTTTTAAATTCTTTTTTTAATTACTTTTATTTTCTGTGCAGGGTATTTTGCCTGCATGTGGTTTGTGCACCATGTGCTGGCACAGGCTATAAAGAGCTGGAACTCCTGGAACTAGTTACAAACAGTTGTGAACCAACATGTGAGTGCTGGAAATAGCTGCCAGTGCTCCCAACCAATCTATTATCTCTCTAGTTTTTTAAAACTTTTTTTTCTTTTCTTTTTCTTTTTTTCTTTTTTTTTTTTTTTTGGGTTTTCGAGACAGGGTTTCTCTGTGTTGTTTTGGAGGCTGTCCTGGAACTCGCTCTGTAGACCAGGCTGGCCTCGAACTCACAGAGATCCACCTGCCTCTGCCTCCCGAGTGCTGGGATTAAAGGCGTGCGCCACCAACGCCCGGATTTTCTTGTTATTGTTTTTAGTTGGTTATATCTTGATCGGTTTGTTAATAATTTGTTAAATACACATGGTAGTTTGAATGAAAATGACTCCCATAGGGAGTAGCTGAATTACAGTAGGTGTGGCCTTGTTGGGGATGGGCTTTGAGGTTTCAGATGTTCAAGCCAAGCACAGTGTCACACTCTTCCTGCTGCCTGCCTATCCAGATGTAGAATTCTCAGCTACTTCTCCAGCACCATATCCGCTATCATGCTTCCCACCATGACAATAATGGACTAAATCTCGGAGGCAGAGGCAGGTGGATCTCTGTGAGTTCGAGGCCAGCCTGGTCTACAAGAGCTAGTTCCAGGACAGCCTCCAAAGCCACAGAGAAACCCTGTCTTGAAAAACCAAAAAAAGGACTAAATCTCTGAAGCTGTAAGGCAGTCCCAATTAAAAGTTTTCCTTAAAAAAGTTGCCATGGAGCTGGGTGTTGGTGGCACACGCCTTTAATCCCAGCACTCGGGAGGCAGAGGCAGGCGGATCTCTGTGAGTTCGAGGCCAGCCTGGTCTACAGAGCGAGTTCCAGGACAGCCTCCAAAACAATACAGAGAAACCCTGTCTCAAAAAACCAAAAAGAGTTGCCATGGTCATGGCATCTATTCACAGAACCAAGCCTCAAACAAATGGCAGATACAGGAGGGAAAAAAAAAAAGAACATCATTAACAATTAAAGACAGTGTGGCAGGATCTTGGCTATCTGAATAGTTACTTTCGAATGTTTGTCATGAGGCAGTGAAACTAAAAACTGTTAATGTGAATAAATGAAAAGTATGATCTTGCCAGGTGGTGGCGCACGCCCTTCATCCCAGCACTTGGGAGGCAGAGGCAGGCAGATCTCTGTGAGATTGAGGCCAGTCTGGTTTACAGAGTGAGTTCCAGGACACCCAGGGCTACATAGAAAAAGTCTGTATTCAAAACAAAACAAAAAACCCCACTCTCATCCCCCAGAAAAGTATGATCTAGTAAAAAAGCCAAGATTAGCAGAGTGTAACATATGCTCAAAACAGTTGCAAATTTTCCAAGTATCTTTGACAAAAGTCCGATTAATAGGTAGATATGGAAACTGATAAATAGTAAAGAGGCCAGATTTGTTAATAAATGGAAAATATTGTTATGTATTCTTTATATTATTATTTATTTTAGTTGGGGTGGGGGAAGGAGGTGCATGCCTGTAATCCCAGCATTCAGGAAACAGAGGCAGGTGGATCTCTGTGTTTGAGGCCAGCCTGGTTTACAGAGCTATTTTGAGACAGCCAGGGATGTTTGTTACACAAAGAAACCCTGTCTCAAAAGAAAAAATAACCAAAAAAAACAAAAAACAAAAAACAAACAAACAAAAAAAAACCCAGAACAACAAACCCGCAAAATGTATTGTATATGTGTGTGTGCCCTTGTGGTATTTGTGTACCTCTGGCATTCAGGAGCCCTGGGAGGTCAGAAAAGGGCATCAGATTCTCTGAAACTGTAGTTACAGTCAGTGGTGCTCTACCTTGTGGGTAATGATGCTGGGTCCTCTGCAAGAGCAGTTATCTCTTTAGTTCCAAACAAACAAATGAGTTATCAATATTTTCAGACCCAGATCTTTTCCTGCTTGAATAACTGTTTCTGTGGGGTAAATTTTTCAAAGAGGGTTAACAGGGAGAGGGAAACAAGCTTGTATTTGCTATTCTATAATACTGACAACATTACTATGAAGCCCTCAAGTCAATTTCCCTTCTCTTCAGAGTATCCACTCATGCATCAGGCCCATCATGGCCAAATTTGAAGAAGAAAAAATGTGTTATTTCATGTTTATTTTCAAATTAAACCCGCCTCCCCACTTCAAGACAAGGTTTCTTTGTGTCTCCCTGGCTGTCTTGAAATTCATCTGTAGACCAGGCTGGCCTCAAACACAAGAGATCTACATGCATCTGCCTTCTAAATGCTGAGATTAAAGATGTGTGTCACCACTCCTAGAGCTTGAGCATGCCTTTTAATTGCCTAAAATTTCTAATAAAAAAACCCTAAAGTTCCCCCATGAAAGTGACTTTTCTAATAAATTCCTAGGTTTCTATAGAACTTGGTGACTGATAAAATACAGAAATGAGAGATTTAAGAGCTCTTTAAAGAAACAGGACTGCAGCATACATGTGATACATGTACACTCAGGCATAATACACATCAGAGTAAATACTTTTTTTTTAAGAAACCAGCTGGGATTAAGAGCACTGACTATTCTTCCAGAGGACCTGGGTTCAACTCCCAGCACCCACAAGGCAGCTCACAACTGTCTGTAATTCCAGTTTCAGAAGACCTGAAACTTCCCATGACAAAACACTAATGCACACAAAATTAAAAAGAAAGAAACCAGCTAGGTGGTGGTGGTGGTGTACCCCTCTGATCCCAGCACTTGGAGGTAGGCAGATTTCTGAGTTAGAGACCAGCCTGGCCTACATAGAGAGTTCTAGGAAACCTTGCCTCAAAAAACAAAACAAAACAAACAAAACCCCCAAAACAAAACTGGAACCTGAGAATTTAGTATGTCTGATGTCCAAGGTTTGATCTCTATTACTGCAAAAACAAAGTAACAAACAAAAACAGGCTGGAGATGTAGCTTGTGTTCATCACACAAGCACAAGGATCTGAGTCTAATTCCCAGAACCTATTCAAAAGGCTGGTAGAACATGGCCCTATTCTATTATCTTCTTACTGGGAAGGCAGAGAGGCAAGAAGATCTCTCTAGGACCCTGACTCAAAAAGGCAGAAGACAACACTGACTTCTGCCTCTACATGCACTTGCACACATGGGTGCATATTTGTACAAGGATGGGACACATGAAAAACAAAATGAAATGACCTCTTTGGTAACTGATTACATCTTTGTAAAATGAGGCTCAAATACTTATGATGAATGAAGGAAGACAGAGGAGCACATGCCTTAGTCCCAACTACCTGACACTACCTGAAGATCACTTGAGCTCAGGAGTTTGGAGGCAGCGTGGACAGCACAGATCTCTTAAAATACAAACAGCTGAGTATGATGGCTCAGTCTATATTCACAACACTCAAGAGGCTGAGACAAGATCTTGAATTTGAAGCTAAACTGGGTTATCCAGCAAGATTGTATCTAATACACATATAATAGAAAAAGTTTCATAATGGTTGATGCTTACTGAATCAAGTTCAGACTCTGGCTTAGCTCCCAGCTTGTACAGTTCGTTCCCATCCTTGCTATTCATTTAACCTCATCTTTGAGTGCTCACTGCTAGGCATCTCTACACCAGTGTCTGCTGTCTTGTTCTCTTCTAGCTCAAAATATCTCCCATATCAAAAATCTTCTCAACTTCGACCAGCGCAGACTGACTTTGTTTTAACTATATCTGCATTGTCCTTCAACAAACCATCAATTTTAAAGGAAGAAATTATGTCTTATTTCCGTATTCTCTAAAGCAATGGATACAAAACAATGTTAGGTAAACAGCAGATACCCATGTATTAGTGTTACTGTCATATGAAATATAACTAACTGGTTTCTTGCACAAGGCAACTGTAGGAGGAGAAAATGGAAAAACAACACACGATATGCTAAGTGAAAGCCTAGCAACATGAATTTATTTTCTTCATTGCACTACTTATGCCCTTTCCTTTTTCCCTCCCATTTTTAGAGACAAAGAGTAACTATGTGACCCAGGCTGACTTTGGAATTGCTAACAGATCAGGCTGGCATCAAATTTGCAATCCCATGCCCTAGTATTAATTTTTTTTGTTTTTATTTTTATTTATTTTTTCGAGACAGGGTTTCTCTGTATTGTTTTGGAGCCTGTCCTGGAACTCGCTCGGTAGACTAGGCTGGTCTCGAACTCACAGAGATCCACATGCCTCTGCCTCCCGAGTGCTGGGATTAAAGGCGTGCGCCACCACCGCCTGGCCCTAGTATTACTTTTTGACTACATAAATGTATTCAACTATTCCTAGAGGAAGCTACTCAGATAAGCATGTGATATTCATCAATGTACCTACCATTTAGTCATTTGGAGAAAATACTTTTTGTACTTTAAATAATGTTACTGATAGTAAGATACTAAAACTGGGTTGGGTTGGATATGGTGTCATATTCCTTTAATCTCAGCACTCAGGAGACAGAGACAGCCAGATCAATGAGTTCCAGAAGAGCCAGGACTACATAGAGATGCTATGAACAAACACCAAAACCTGTGCATGCTTCGGTAGCACATATACTAACATTGGAACAGAGAAGATTAGCATGGCCCCTGTGGCAAAGATGACATACAAATTCATGAAGCACTCCATATTAAAACAAAACAAAACCCATGTTTCATGGAACATGCCTATAATTGGACTTGAAAAAGAGACTGGAGCATTGTCATCCTGGTCTATTACATAGTGAGTTCCAGACTAGCCGGAATATGTAGTGAGACCTTGTCTCAAGATAGGAAATAAGGTCTGTGTGGTGATGTAAGCACTTAGAAGATGAGGGCAGGAAGATCAGGAGTTTAATACTGTCATGGCTACAGAGCTGGAAGTCAATCTGAGTTTTATGAAATCCTGTCTCAAAAGTCCTACATGAACAAATAAATGAACGAATGAATGGGACTGGGAATAAAATAAAATCCAGTGACAAAGTGTCTGCCTACCATGGGGAGAGGGGTTAACAAGCCAATCTTCATATCTCTAGGAGATAAGTTAGGGTATTTAGCAATTATTTGCCACTGAAAACAGTACTATACTGAACAATAAGTTGTAAAATAGACTCCTGTACATTGACTTGAACTTATGATCCTTCTGCCTTAGCTTCCTAAATAGTTCAGATTACAAGCCTGTAGTAGCAAACCAGCCATAATATATACACTATACAGACCAAAAAGCCCCAAAAGTTTGAAGCTAGCCTGGTCTAGATCAACTGGGGCTACCTGGTGAGACCCTGTCTCAAAAATGAGGAGGCCTCAAGTTGTTCAATTGGTTTAGTATACACTAAACACTGGGTTTGATTCCCAGCACTACATACACCATGCAAAGTGGCTCATGCCTACAACCTCAGCACTTGGGAGATTAAGAGGCAGAATGATCAGAGCTCAAGACCAGCCCGAGGCTACAAGAGAACTATTTCAAAAACAGGAAAGGAGGGAAGAGTAGCCCAGGTTTCTAATAGCTTTAAAGAAAAATTTTAATGCAATGATTAATTATGAAAGTCTAAAATGAAGGTCATCCAACAAAGGTCAATAAATACTTTGGTTTGCAACTAACTATGTAGATCAGGCTAGTCTTGTAACTTTTGGAATCTTCTTGCCTCCTGTCAGCTTGAATTACATGTGTGCAATCCAATTTATTTTCCAGATCTTTAAAAAATATATCTATTTTTGTGTGTGCGCTCACATGCATAAATGTGTTGGATTCCCAGGAACTGGAGTTACATTTGTGAGCCACATGATGTGGTCCAGCATTCCCTTTTTTGTTTGTTTTTCAAGATAGGGTTTTCTTGATGAAATAGTCCTGGAACTTGCTTTGTGGCCTAGGCTGGCCTCAAACTGACAAATTCCCCCCAACCCCTCCAGTTTTTTTTCTAAAGAGACACCTCACTGTGTCTGATAAATCTTCTACCTCAGCCTCCAAAAAGTGCTAACATTACAAGTGTGTACCACCACACCACTTTCTAAACAAACAAATAAACAAACAAACATACATACATACATTAAGCACCACTCAGAAGACAGAGGCAGGAGGATCTCTCTGAGTTTAAGGACAGTTTGGTGTACATATCACATTTCGAGACAGCTAGGGGTTACATAGTAAGTATATTTAAAAAAATTTTTTTTAAGGATTGGCTAAAGCACTTGGTTCCAACAACCACATGGTAGCTCACAACCACCTGTAACTCTGGCTCCAACGGATCCAATGCTCTCTCCTGCCCTCTGTGGGTACCAACTATGAATGTGGCAGGTAAAACACCCATACACATAAGATAAAATCTAAATAAACAAGTAAATAGAGCCAGGCAGTGGCACATGGCTTTAATCCCAACACTTGGAAGGCAGAGGCAGGTGGATCTCTGAGTTTGAGTTAGCCTGGTCTACAGAGTGAGTTCCAGGATGGCCAGGTCTACACAGGAGAACCCTGTCTTAGAAACAAGCAAACAAAAAGACAAAAACCAAACAAAAAGTTTAAGCAGCCAAGTGTTATGGCACACATTGTATTATTAACACTGTAGAGAAAGGAGGATCATTAAAAACCATCCTTGGGGGCTGGAGAGATGGCTCAGAGGTTGAGAGTGCTGGCTGTTCTTCCAGAGGTCCTGAGTTCAATTCCCAGCAACCACATGGTGGTTCACAACCATCTGTAACGAGACCTAGTGCCCTCTTCTGGCTTGCAGGCAGAACGCTGTATACTTAATAATAAATAAATAATTTTTTTTAAAACCCTTTATTTTGATGTCAACCTAGAGTATGTGAGACCTTGTCTTAAGAAGTGCTTAAGGCGCTAGAGATGGCTCAGTGTTTAAAAAGGACATATTGCTCTTGCAGGGAATCCACACTTAGTTCCCATCACCCAAAATGTTGCTTATAATCTCCTAAAACTCAGTTCCAGGGGAATCCAGGTCCAACACTTCTGACCTCAAAACGTACCTACACTCATGAGGACATACCCACATGGAGACAGACAGACACACACAGACAGACAGACAGACAGACAGACAGACAGACACACACACAATCCTTTAGTCAAAAAGATAGCTGATGCTTATTCAGTAGCTCCCTAGAAAGTTAATGACATAAGAGGGACAAAAGTTGCAAGTAAAGCAAAGAGGGCACAAGCAATAGAGGCCACCTCCAACTGGTAATACTGTTACTCCCAGATAAGCTTTCTACACAGGGCTCAGTTCTTAGCTTTCTCATCTGACAGCAAAACAGGCAAAGAACAAATAGCAGCTCCATTGTAGAATGAGTGCTGGGAAGAGAGGGTAACATGGGCTGGAAAGATGCTCAGCTATTAAAGAATTTCAAGACACACACTTTTGATCCCAACACTTAGGACGAAGAGGCAGGTAGATCTCTGTGAGTTTGAGGGCAGCCTGGTCTACATAGTGAACTCCAGGTCAGCCAGTGCTCACCTGCTGAGCCTTCTTTCCAGCCCCATAAAGCTAGAAATTTACTTCACCCCTAACCTCATGATGGTGATCCTTAATTCTGAACCTAGGCCCTGTACATGCTAAGCAAGTGCTTAAGAGAAACCTAATGCTAGACTGTGAAGCATGTGCTAGGTCACTGGTCCATTCCCCAGTACCACAAAAATCAAAGCACTCAAATTTACTATTGCAATCTGGTTTCAAAGGCTTTTTATTAAAGATAGCCCATTTATTATGCTTATTGAACATTTGCACAGAGAAAAGAAAAGGCTAATAGGGAAGTCAACATTAGTGTCACAGTATCAATGGGAGGTTGGTTCCTGAGCAACATTCTCTACAACTCAACACTAGGGTACAGCAAACTAACACCTTGCTTTTCCTCATTTTCTTAATAATCATTGTGCCAAGTCTCCCTTAACCCTGAGAAGGAGCTCAGAGTCACTATTTCTGGAACAGTCCTCCAACATCAATTAGAATATTAAAGAAAGCTGACTCTCGTAAGGTTCCCAGGTCCCCAGGCATGACAGCACATGTTTCTAATCTAAGCACTCAGGGAAATGGAGATCCGCCACTTTGACAGACTCCATTCCATACATCCCAGAAAGGGAACAAATGACTTCAGACTGTATGTCATATAGACGCTATGTTCCATGATCTCAAGGTTGGCCTAAAATATAATACTTTAAATATAGGTTTGTTTTCTAATGGGAGGCCTGAACACTGACTGCAATACCTCCTCCCCCTATGCCATTCCCTTTTGAGGCAAGGCTTCATAGTGGCCTCAAACTGTCACCAAAATCCTCTTGCCTTGGTCCCTGGAGTGCTAGGAATACAAGTATGGGTTACAATTTCTGGCTTGTTCGCTTTTTAGAACAGTTGTCAGGCATGGTGGTGCTTGACAAACAAATCTCTAGGATTCCAGTCAAAAGCAAAGAATGTGGATACAAAATAATGTTAGTCGGGTGGTGGTATCGCACGCCTTTAATCCCAGCACTTGGGAGGCAGAGGCAAGCGGATCTCTGTGAGTTCAAGACCAGTCTGGTATACAAGAGCTAGTTCCAGGACAGCCTCCAAAGCCAGAGAAACCCTGTCTTGACCCCCCCCCTCCAAAAAAGTTAGAACTGTAGTTACAGATGATTGTAAGCTACCAGATGTGTGCCAGGAATCCAATCCTGGTCCTCTGCAAGAACAGCAAGCATTGAGATCTCTCTAATTCCATTACAAGATTCCCCTGCCTCCAGTACTGGGAATTAAACCTGCTTCACCTACACTAGGAAAGAGCTCTACCACTATGCTATATCCTTAACCCTCAAAAATCGGTATAAATTGTTAAAGGACTAAGCTGGAGCTGGCGAGATGGTTCATGACATAAAAGTACTTGAAACCAGATCAGATGGCCTGCATTTGATCCCCAGAATCTACTTGGTGGAAAGAACTCACTCTTCCAAGTTGCCCTCTGACCACCCTATATGCATTAGAGCACAAGCATGTATGGTCATACACACACACACACACACACACACACACACACACACACACACACACACACACACACACACACACGAGTTAATGACAGCTAGGCATAGTGGTCTATGCCTAGGTAGTATATTCCTAGGACTCTATCACATGGGAGACTGAGGCAGAATTGTCTTATTCTCTCAAATGTTTCTACTGTCATGTCCATAAAAAACACTTCCCTAGGTCTGGAGAGATGAACACTGGCTTCTCTTCCAGAGAACTCAAGCTCAATTCCCAGCACCCACACCCTAGCTCACAACTGTCTATAACTCCAGTTTCTGAGGATCCAACACCTTCACACAAACATATATATGCAGACATTACATCCAGGCAAAACATCAATACACAGAAAATAAAAACAAAACAAAAAAACCATTTCCTACCGAAAGTACTCATACCTCATTTTGTTGAAGACTTTATTTTTCATGACAGTAAGAGAGCTTGCATTCTGCTTAAAAACATACAGCACAGCTGGGCAGTGGTGGCGCACGCCTTTAATCCCAGCACTCGGGAGGCGGAGGCAGGCGGATCTCTGTGAGTTCGAGGCCGGGCTGGACCGACAGCCTCCAAAACAATACAGAGAAACCCTGTCTTGTAAAACCAAAAAAACCCAAAAAAAAAAAAAAACCAAAAACAAAAACAAAAACAAAAAAAACCC